GTGAGTTCATAGAGTAACATATTCAAAAACTGTTCCATATTGCAGATATATCTCAATGTTCAGCGATGTGTCATTTCAAGTCTTTTTCGAAAATAATCTTGTAGCATTTGTTTAGCATTGTTTTAGAATCTAAGAAATGTGCGGATAAACAAACGTGTAAAGTAGGGAAGTAGTTGAAAAAATTTTCTTCTGCGTAAAAAGTCTGTTTTTCATGGGAACCGGAAAGTTCAGCAGGGGAAATTTTCGTCTCGGAATATTCAGCACAAAAACTTCAGTGCGGGATTTACACTGAAATATTATGTGCTATTGAGTCAATTTGGGCTAGGATGTCTGGATGAGGTGCGGAGATAAGATTTATTAAACGTTTTTCGAAGCATTGCTTTATTTTCTTGTTCTGTGGCGGTTGTACAGCATTCATTTGTACTATATCAACATGAGAGGCATTTTCTTCATCGATTAGTTTTGCACTTGTAAAAATTGAGCATCTCTACCTTTGTAACAATTTGTAATAATCATATCTGATGTTTCTTGAGTATGAAGACCACGATAAGCAATTTGTTCGTCGAATTTCGAAGTTCAAGTGTTGTACCATCAATTGTGCATGTATGTTCCGTTGGTGGTTTTATAATATTATTTATAATAACATATGTGTGAAGACGAGAATGACAATGATGTAATTAACAACAATACGCAAATATATAATGGATCGATCAACAAATGAAACAACTTACTGGCGTTTTTCTTAACTATTTCCCTACTTTACACGTTTGTTTATCCGCACATTTCTTAGATTCTAAAACAATGCTAAACAAATGCTACAAGATTATTTTCGAAACAGACTTGAAATGACACATCGCTGAACATTGAGATATATCTGCAATATGGAACAGTTTTTGAATATGTTACTCTATGAACTCACACGCGAACATAATATTGAGCCGAGAGGTGGCATTTGTATTCAAAAGTGGTTGCTTATTATATTCAACGAATGTACATTGCTATATATAGCAATGTACATTATATATAGCAATACTTCAACCAACTCTTGCTAAAATATTAGAAAAATTAGAATTAACCACAACCACCACATCACCAGCGTCTACTACTGGAACAGCTACACATCAGAATCACATGGATCTTGATAATTTTGCCACACAAGAAGATACTGATCAAATTGATTTGGATGACAACGAAGATGGTAAGAGTATAGAGATTGAAGAACCACAAGTGATTAACAATAATGGTGATAGAGAAGCCTTTTACGAGGTAATGAACCAAAATCTTAGCACAACTAAGCGTTTAGCAGCCACAACCACTGATACGAGTAGTGTAGAGAAAGCTCTTTACTCATTTCAACCGAAACATAAAACAACTCAGGAAAAACAACAAATAAAATTGAGACAGAGTGCGGCCACAACAGGCACAAATGGCTCACAAACATCAGTTGCAAAGCGCCGTAGAACTCATCCCACTCGACAATGAAAATTGTTCACATCAATCTCACATCATCTAGCAAGCATCATGAGGAATTGATAGCTAGATTTCATGATTTCGATGTGATATTCCTCAATGAGACAGATCTTAATGCCAAGCACATTTTCTTTTTACCAAATTTCAACATTTTTCACTATGATAGTCCTGGCAAAGGCGGCAGCGGCGTACTTTTAGTAATTCGCAACACCATTAAGTGTCACGAAGTGGTTAATAAAACGGACAAATCAAACGAAATCGTCACAGTGCAATTAGAAATGAAAAAGCAACAACTCCTTATCTGTTCCATGTACGTTCCACCAAAATCAAAAATAAACCGCGACTTATTTGATGAACTCTATCGACTAAATCCGGCTACATTAGTGGTCGGAGATCTAAACGCTGCGCTATCCAGTAAAGGGTCAAGAAAAACCAACGGAAAAGGTCGGCAGCTGCAACAACTTCTTGAA